TTCTCTAATTTTGGTCTGCAAACTTAGGTTGTTAACCATCCAGTTGATATTTCATAATAACAACTTTTTAGGTTTTTTGTTTTTAGAGACAAGGTCTTGCTATATAGTTCAGGCTGGCCTTTAACTCATTATGTAGCCCAAGCTGGCTTTGAATTCATGGTGCCCCTCTTGCCTCAGTCTCTCAAATGCTGCATTACAGGCATGTGCCACCATACCCAGCTAACAATTGTTATAACTCATTTTTTGGGGGGTGGGGGCAGTACTGAGGATTATACCTAGGACCTCACATGTGCTTTACCATGCTCTACTGCTGAGCTACATCATCCCCAGACTTTTTTTTTTTTTTCAAGACAGTCTTACCAAACTGCCCAGGCTGTCCTTGAACTCTTAATTTCAAATAATCTTCCCCAGCCTTCCAAGTAGCTGAAACTACAGGTATGCACCACCATGCCCAGCTATTGACTCTTTTTCTTTTTTCTGTCTTGAGATAGGATTTCACTATAAGCTTCAGGGTAGGCTTGACTCACTTTGTAGCTGAGGATGCCCTTGAACTCAGTGATCCTCTGGCCTCAGCCTCCCAAGTGCTAGGATTGCAGGTGTGTGCCACCATGCCGGGAGATGACTCCTTAAGTCTCTCCCCAGCTATCAACAAGCAAAACTGCTTATCTTTTCCCAGAGTTGAACTTCTCAAATTTTCTCCATGTCTAAGATATGCAGAGAATATACTAGTGTATAAGATCCTACTTCAATGGAAATAGCTGTTCTAAGCTATCCTGAAGCTTAATGAGCCAATACCTATAAAATAATCACATCATCATAAAGTTGGGGAGCTGAGAAGAGAATGAAAGTTCCACATGTAACATGATCACACTTACAAAAGAAAGTGGAAGGCTAGGGGCCAAGGAGATAGCTCAGCAGTCTAAGTGCCTGCCTAGCAAGCACAAGGACCCAAGTTCCATTCCCTGAATTACACTCTGTGCCAGGACCACAACCAGGTGTGGTGTCATGCGCCTGTAATCCCAGTTCTAGGGAGGCTGAGACAGGAAGATCACTATGAATTCTAGCTGCATAGTGAGACCCTGTACCAAATAAATAAATAAAAAAAACATTTTTTAAAAAGGTTGGCGAGGGCCGGGGGAGATGGCTCAATAGGATAAGTGCTTGCCTGGCAAGTGCAAGGGTCTGAGTTCAATCCCTAGTTCAACCAAAAAAAAAAAAAAA